ACCACCACCACTACCACCACCACCCCCCTCCCCTCCTTCCTTCCCTCCGCCTCGGCCGCCCGGGTCCCCCCAGCTCCCGCCCCTCCTCCCAGCTGCCCCCCGCGGAGCCCGCCCGGGCAGGCTGTGGGAGGGAGCGGAGCCGGCGAGGCGGGCGGGCTGGCGCTCGCTCCCCGGGGGTCGGTGTGCGCTCTACGGGGAAGGACGCGCTCGCTGCCCCGCTTCTCCCGCCCCCCCTCCCGCTCCTCCTCCTCCCTTCTCCCTCCTCCTCCCCGCTCCGGCGGCGGAGGCTGCGGCGGCGGCGGGGGGTGTGCGAGCTGAGGCCGGGGCCGGCGGGCGGGCGGCGGGCGGGCTGCCTGCAGGCGGAGGGCGCTGTGCTTTGTGCTTTTCGCCGCGAGGAGCAGCAGGCAGCAGCAGCCACAGCCGCCGCCGCCGCCACAGCAGCAGCCGCCGCCCCAGCGCCGCCGCCGCGCCCGGAGGAGGAGCCGCTGCCGCCGCGGGAGGGAGCTGCGGCTGTGCCCGGCCGAGCGGGGGAGGGCGCCGCCGCTCAGAGCCGGGGAGGGAGCCGCCGGAGCGGGAAGCCCGGAGGCCGCGCTGCGCCGGGTAACCGAGGCGGCTGAGGACGCGCGCCGGGGTCGGGGCCAGGCGGTGGGGAGCGAACCGCGGGTGCCGTAGACACCGGGGGGGAACCCGGGACGCCCTCCAGGCAGGGGACTGGACGGAGGAGGATCAGGGCACTGGAGAGGACGCTGAGAGCCGGGGGAGGGGAGGGCAGGAAGCGAGGCCCGAGCCGAGCCCCGGCCGCGGGCACAGGAGCCCGCGCTTCTCCGAGCCGGCAGGCGCAGTTCTCACCGGCCGCCGGAGGGGGCGGCGGGGCCGGTGAGCGCTGCGCCCCCGCCTCGCGGCCGCCGTCCTCCCGCCCTCTCCTTGGCTCGGCTCCCCGGAGGCCGGGGCGGGGGCGCCGGCGGGGCTGGGCCGCAAGCTCGGGGGAGGAGGCGGTGGTTCCCGCCGCGGTCGCGCCTCTGCGCCGGGCTCCTCCGTGCGCGTCGGGGTGGCTGGGCGGTGGCGGCGCCTCTGACCGGGGTGGGTGGCTCGGGGGCGGGGGGGCAGGTTAGGCCGCTTCTCTCCGGCTGCTCGCCCGCCGAGGCGGGCGGGGACGGCGTCGGGAGCCCGAGAGGGGGGGCGGCGGGAATCCAGATCCGGTCCCCGGGGGCGGTGCGGCCGCTGCGCTCCGGGGCTGGCGGCGGCTGCGCTGCGTCCGGGTCCCCGCCGGGTTGCGGAGGCGGGGGGAACCGGCCGGGGGGAGGCGGGAGGAGGAGACTGCAGCGCGTGCCCGCTTCCGCGGCCGCGCGCGCCCTTTACCCGCCCTTCCTCCTCCCCCGCCCTCCAGCCTGGGGCCTCCCCGGGGCGGGCGCACAGAGGAGGAGGAGGTTTTTTTTTTTTTTTTTTTTTTTGGGCCGGGGTGGGGGAAGGAGGGCGGAGGGCGGGCGCTAGCTGCACGCGGGAGCTGGGAGCAGTCTCTCGCGTGGGCAGGGGAGGGCGCACGCGGTGGAGCCGGGCTGCGGGGGGGGGGTAGCGCACTCCCACACCCACCGACCCATTAGGTCTACTAGGGTCTTGGCAGGGTCTCCGCGAGAGTGTGGACTTGTGCCCCCCTCCCCTTTGGGGGAGGGAGGAATAGAAAGTCCCTCACCTCGCATCCCGCCTGAGTGGGGACTGGTGTTTCTCCTTAAGGGTGAGGTGGTTTTACCGCGGGTTGCTCGGCCAGCACGACCCGAGGAGGTGGCTGGAGGAGGTGGCTGGACGGCTAAAGAATGAACGGAGAAGCTGACTGCCCCACAGACCTGGAAATGGCCGCCCCCAAAGGCCAAGGTAGGAGCTCTTTAACTTATGTCCTCTTTTCCACATGGCTGTGTGCAGGGCCCACTCCCCTTGGAAAAGCGTCATCTGCATTCTCTGAATTGAGATGAGGGGGGATATCTTCGGTTTTATGAGTCAAGTTTGGCTAAACCCAAATTATTTGGCCTTGAGGCTATAAGCAGTATTTTTCACACTCCATTCTTTGGTTAGAGAGGGAGAAGGAGGCCTGTGCAAGCCTTCTTTCTGGGGTTCCCAGTCAGGCCAGTGTGTGTCCTCTCCTCACCCAGTGTCCTGGAATGGGAGGAAGGATGAGGAATGTGGGGGAAAGGGGGAGAAGAAAGAGATTGGGAAGGCTTTTCAGGTGTCTTATTGTTATTCAGAGGACAAGGTTTTTGGTCAGGCAGGTGGAGGGAGAGGATATTTTGGTGGTTTGAGACTCCAAGCCATAGGAGGTCCATAACTAGACCCTACCCCCTCCAGTAGGGATCCTGTGTGTGTGCAGGCAGGGGGTAGGATGAAGCTGAGCGTCTGGCCATGACTGGGGGACACTGAGAGGAGAGAGGATTATTGGCCCATGTGACCCACCCTGTGGAAACTCTGACCCAGGTTACCAGATGCAAATGCAAATGAAGAGCGCTTTTGACTCCCAGCCCTGGATATCTGTTCTCCCAGCTTACTTTCCAGGGTTGCTACCCTCCAGAGAGAGGCCTACTGGAGCTGTATTTCAGTGGCTGGAAATAGCTGGTTCAGACCCCTTTTTTGGCCTCCATGGGGAGTTGGACCCAGAAGACAACTCAGAATTCTGGGGGTTCTCCCTGGAGCCAGGGCCCTGAGAGCCTTTGCCCACCTGTCTGTCTTGCCTCCCAGCTGTCCTGTATGGTTCTTCCACTTCCATTCCATTTTTCTTACTTGACCCAAATTATTCGCATCTTTGATATTAGTTTACAGTTGTGCAGGAGAGAGACGTCTGCACGGGTCTGCTTCCCACACTCCATCCTCAGTCCTTGCACATCTATGGGATCCACCTAGAGCTTAAACTTGGCAACACATTTAGATGTGTGTGTTCCCTGCTGGCCCACCAGGCCCCAAATCACTGTAGCTTCATTTCTTTCTCTTCCCCACAATAAATAGTAGCCTGCGGCAGTCTGGCATGTTAGAAATGATCATAGTTTTGAAGTAAGCCAGACCTGACTTCAAGTCTGGCTTTCTAGGTATGATGCTGTCTGGACTGGAATTCCTGTTCTAATCCATATGGTCACAGTTTTTCCCTTACGACTAGGTCATGTCTTGTCTTTGCCTTCAGATCGGAGGTAACCAGGGATTTGGGATGCTCTGGGAAAGAAGGATTGAGCACTTAAAGACGGGGGAACAGATGAGGGGAAAGCATGAACTGGGTATGATTGCCTTTCTTACCCCTCCCCAGACCGCTGGTCTCAGGAAGACATGTTGACTTTGCTGGAATGTATGAAGAACAACCTTCCATCCAATGACAGCTCCAAGTTCAAAACCACCGAGTCACATATGGACTGGGAAAAAGTAGCATTTAAAGATTTTTCTGGAGACATGTGCAAGCTCAAATGGGTGGAGATTTCTAACGAGGTAACTGAATCCCCCCCCTTTCCTGACACATCTACACAAACCCCTGCCTCAACCTTCCTGGTGGGGGAGAGGAAACAGAAGTCTATAAACAGGAAGGAAAGAGACCAGGCGAGGTGCTCATGTGGTCGCCTTTGTGCATTTGGGAGGCGGCACGGTTGACAGCGCCAGCCTAGAGTTCTCAGTTCTGCCACTTTCTAGCTGTGTGGCCTTGAATACTTACCGTCTTGGAGCTTCTGTCGCCTGAGCTGTTCTGGGGATTGAATGAGGTGCTGGCATGGACAACACATCGAGGTCAGGTGGTCACCTTGTTGCTGTCCTTTGGTGTGTATGGACTGCCTGGTCCTCTGCCGGAGGCATGGGCCAGCGCCTCGGTGTCAGGGGCTGAGTGGTGGCTGTTGGCCTCTGCCCTTCCCCCTTTGATAAATTCAGTCTAGTGGAAAATAGAGGAGACCCGTTGGAAAAGGGGGGTATGCTCTGGGGTGGTGTTTCCCTTTCTGAACTTCCCCTTGCACTCACCTTCTGTCTTCCTCCAGGTGAGGAAGTTCCGAACATTGACAGAATTGATCCTTGATGCTCAGGAACATGTTAAAAATCCTTACAAAGGCAAAAAACTCAAGGTGAGTTTCTAGGAAGAGGAGCATGACATGTAGGCGAGGAATGGGTCAAAGAACGGTTACTGTCTGACTTTTACCGTGTCCTTGACCCTCTTTCCAGAAACACCCGGACTTCCCAAAGAAGCCCCTGACCCCTTATTTCCGCTTTTTCATGGAGAAGCGGGCCAAGTACGCGAAGCTCCACCCTGAGATGAGCAACCTGGACCTGACCAAGATTCTGTCCAAGAAATACAAGGAGCTGCCGGAGAAGAAGAAGGTGGGGGGAGGGGGGTGAAACGGGGAGGAGGGAAAAGGCAGGGCAGCAGCTGGTGCAGTGTAGGTCAACTGTGGGGGGAGGCTTAGAGGGACTTGGCATCAGGGGTGGGGGTGGGTCAGCAGAGCAGAGCGTAGGGCCTCGGGCAGCCACATTCGATCTCCTCCTCCCAGTCCCACACACGGTCAGGTACAGGCACTGTCGAAGGCGTAACGCGGACTGCAGCAGGTGCTCGGTCCAGCCTTTTACCCCACAGACAGTCCACGGTGTTCTGTCATACGGCCCGGCTTCTGTGCTCACATGCTCTGTCAGGCTGGCCCAGCGGTTCATCCTCTGACGTTTCCCACTGTGGTCTCATCTGATGCACGCAGCATCCCCATACAGGGAACCCCTGGAGAAGGGGTTATTCTGATTGTGTGGGTGCAGAACTGAGGCTCAGGAGGGACTCGTGTCCTGGGTCCCCCCACTAGTGACAGTGGAGTAGGCCTCGGGAGCACTTCTCGCTGCCACGTCCACACATGAAGTGGGCTTCCTTCCTCCCCGCACACGTTCGCCCGAGGATGCCCCGTGTCTCTGGTGGCCTCCTGCTGTCCCGGGCCGTCCGAGATCATTGACCTTGGGCAGAGGTTACCCCAGTTTCCCAGGCAGGGTTGGAGCCAGTCCCACACGGTGAGGTCAAATGGACCCTCCCTGAGGCTTGCAGCCGGGCCCTGAGCGAGATGGGGCGGGGGGGAGGTCAGCAAGGGTGCCGGGCTGCGAGGCGGAGCCACGGAGAGGGGTCAGCGAGGGGCAGCGGGAGAGAGAAGCGGGCACACTTGGGGGAAGAAGAGACCAAGCCGCACACAGCCAGCTCTCAGGAGGCGGCACTGGCCGCCGCCTCATGTGTAGCCCTCCGTCTTCCCGGTTCGTGCACTCTGGCTGCAGGCTCACATGCCCCCTTGGTTCTGTACCCGAAAAGGAGCCAGCTTGGCGGGGTGAAACCAGCTGTCTACCACTGCCGCCCGGGCCCAGCCGGGGTAGGAAGTGGTGGAGTTCTCCTTGGCCCCTCTGATGGGGAGGTCGCAGAGCAGACTGTACACGCGACACCCAGACACTCAGGGTGTGGGAGGCAGAGGCCGAGGGTCCCAGGACCAGGGAGGGCTAAGACACCACGCGGTAGAGTGGACCGGGTGCTGGCCTGGGGGACCCAAGACTTGGGCCCGTTCTTGTGACTACCCCTGAATTGCTCTGTGTGTGACCTGCGGTAAGTTCCTTCGTTTCTCTGGACCTGGTCTTTATCTGAGGTGCGGAGGGTAAGCCCAACCCTGTGCGTGAACCCTGTGCGTGACTTCCTGTTCTGTGTGAGGAGGACTGAGACCGGGACGGGCTGGACTGGGCTCTGCCCCCCGTTTTCTGCAGGAACCACAGGGGAAAGTAAGGCTGTCTCTTCCTGTGCCTGGTGCCTCTTCTGGGAGAGGCAGGGGTTGAGCTCAGTTGCTGTGAGCCCCTGGACCCTTCCAAGGCCGACTCTTGTGACTCAGGGGGGAAAGGGGGAAAGGAGAGCTGGATGTTGAGTGGTAGCCAGTCAAGGAGGAGAGGAAAGGGACCAGTGGGAAAGGAAGGGTGAAGAGTGGAGAGGCAGGAGCAAAACAGGGAAGTAGTCGGGTGATGGCGGGAGCGGAGGCCAGCCCTACAGAAGGAGGTGGAGGAGAACGAAGAGAAGCCAAGGCAGAGGGGAGCCGGTGGGGGGACGGGGGGAGGGCTGGAGGAGCCCGCCAGCTAGGAGCCAGGAAGGAGGTGACAGGAGGGCGTCCAGAATGGGGAAGGCACGTGAAGGATATAGCCAGGGGGCCGGAGGTACCACTCAGCGGATTGGGAAGAAAATCCAAATTCAGGAGACCAGTCTATTATATGTCATTTGCGTTGCAAGAATTCACTCTGGGTGCCTTCAACACCGTCTCCCCTCAGGCCTTGAAAGCAGGACTCAACCTGCCCCCTGGCCCTGTGGGCCACCTTGGAGGCAGAGACCAATACCAGCTGCCACAGACATGGGAGGAGGGAATGATAGGGGCAAGGCCCATACCACCTCCTGACTCATCATGGGGAGTTTTGCGGTGTTGGGGAAACTGGGGGAGGTAGGGTTGGTAGGGTCCTGGGGAGTCCCAGCCCTGTCACTGCTCACTGGGACTGGGTGAGGCCGGGTCCCGCTTCTGGGACTCTCCCTCTCAACAGGAGGGAGTAGGAGGTAGAGTGTGTTCTGGGAGACCCCAGTAGCTCCCACTGTTTGGTTCTAAGCCAACAGTCTGGGCTACGGTTGAGTCTCCCCAGCCCACTGGAAGGCAGGCCACCATCCCCTGCCAGCTCACGCCACCCTCGGTTTGTCCACGTCACCGCTGGGAGGCAAAATAGCGAAGACTCAGTGGCTTTTATAGCTCAGGCTTTGGGTCGTGGATGACCCCATCCCCTCCTCCCCCAGATGAAATATATTCAGGACTTCCAGAGAGAGAAACAGGAGTTCGAGCGAAACCTGGCCCGGTTCAGGTAAGGCAGTGGAGCCCAGAGGAGGGCCACAGGGCACTGGGTGTGGCAGGATAGGGTAACCCTGACCAGAGCCTCGGGCTTGCCATCTGTGAGGCATGGAAGATGGATGGGTCACGTGTAGACCCTAGTGGCTCATGCTCTACGGCAGGGACAGGCAGGTAGCCACCGTCCTACTGGGCCCCAGTTGATAGGCCGTCAAGCCTCGGTGGGTGGGGCAGCTAGCCGGGGTCTCCCTGGCAGGACCCCCCAGCCCCCGCTGACTGTCGCTCCCCACGCCCTGGCTAGGGAGGATCACCCTGACCTAATCCAGAATGCCAAGAAGTCGGACATCCCCGAGAAGCCCAAAACCCCCCAGCAGCTGTGGTACACCCACGAGAAGAAGGTGTACCTCAAAGTGCGGCCCGACGTGAGTGTCCGGCCGGGGGGAACGGGGAGGGTGCGTGGTGGTGGCCAGGGGGGAGCCGCGCCAGGTCGGCCGGGCACGGTGCAGGGGAGCAGGAGAGGAGGCCCCTCCCCAGGGCTGGGCTGCATGGACAGGGCCTGGGCCAGCTGGCGTGCGAGTGCGTGCGTGCGTGCGTGCGTGCGTGAGCCTGTCCCCTTGCACCTAGGCGGGACCCCCGCCTCTCCACTTTTCCCCTCCTGGCCTGTGGGGGACACTCATGTGACCTCCTGTGGCCTGAGGGGGCGGGGGCCTCTGTGCCCCCCTCCCCCCGCCCCTCTCCCTGCCCCTGGCTGCCTGTGTGTGTCTGACGGCTTTTGGTTTGCAGGCCACTACGAAGGAGGTGAAGGACTCCCTGGGGAAGCAGTGGTCTCAGCTCTCGGACAAAAAGAGGCTGAAATGGATTCATAAGGCCCTGGAGCAGCGGAAGGAGTACGAGGTTAGGCTTCCGCTGCGCTCCTCCCCATCCGGCTCTTCAAGAGCCTCTGCCCTCTGACTCTGGCCTCCGCACTCTGCGGGAGGCAGTCACTCCCTGTCCCTCCATTGAGGGAGGGGCCTTCTGGGCCCCTCACCTCTGCCCCTACCTTCCCTGCCCCCCCCCATGAGATCTCAGGCTAGGGCAGGGCAGGGCACCGTATCTCGTGTGACATAGCAGACACACGGCCACCCCCCAGCTTTTGCTCCCTGCCTCCCCTCCCCAGCGGCTCTCCCCGCCCCACCCTGGCCCCGGCTAACCCCACACCCCGTTGCCCTCCATCCCCCCACCTCACTCTGCAGGAGATTATGCGTGACTATATCCAGAAGCACCCTGAGCTGAACATCAGTGAGGAGGGCATCACCAAGTCCACCCTCACGAAGGCCGAACGCCAGCTCAAGGACAAGTTTGATGGGCGACCCACCAAGCCACCTCCGTGAGCGCTGCCCTGGGGTGGGGGTGGGGGGGGTGAGTGGGCCAGTGGGCATCTAGGGAGCTCGGCCAGGCTCTGAAGTTGAGGAAGCCAGCTGCCCTGGTCACTCAGGGAGGCCACATCTCCTTTCCTGCCGGTTCTGACAGGAACAGCTACTCGCTGTACTGCGCCGAGCTGATGGCCAACATGAAGGACGTGCCCAGCACCGAACGTATGGTCCTGTGCAGCCAGCAGTGGAAGCTGCTTTCTCAGAAGGAGAAGGATGCCTACCACAAGAAGTGTGACCAGGTAAGCTGTGCTAAGGAGGACTTCCGGAGACGCATAGGCCTGGCCTTGGGAGTAGAAGCAGGAGATCTGACCCCAGCTAGGGTCAGTCGGTTATTGGGCGAACGGATCTCGGGCCCCTGCTCCAAACTTGGTGGTGTGCTGGGTCTAGCACCTGGGCTCCTCAAGGCGGATGGCCTCAGGCCTTGTGTCTACGGCCTGTAGAGGGAGTGGAGGCTCTGTTCAGGCTCTGGACATCTTGTAGAGGGTGATTGTGCTGTGAGAACCAGCGGGTCCACCCCCAGACTGACCCTGACTCCCCCTCTTTTTCCAGAAAAAGAAAGACTATGAGGTGGAACTGCTCCGTTTTCTAGAGGTGAGTGTTCCTGTAGGTGGGGCATCGGGCAGACACGGGCCTTGGGATTAAGGCCCTTTGGACCCCCTGGGAGCAAGCTGGCAACCAGGAGCGCAGCCCCATGCCACGTCTTGTTTCCGGACCAGAGCCTGCCTGAGGAGGAACAGCAGCGGGTCCTCGGGGAGGAGAAGATGTTAAGCATCAACAAGAAGCAAGCCACCAGCCCAGCCTCCAAGAAGCCCTCGCAGGAAGGGGGCAAGGTGCGCAGGGGGCACAACCAACTGGGGGTGGGGGGGAAGGTGGGGCTCCCCGCCAGCACCCCCAGGACCCAGACCTTCTTTGTCCACCTACAGGGTGGCTCTGAGAAGCCCAAACGGCCGGTGTCAGCCATGTTCATCTTCTCTGAAGAGAAGCGGCGGCAGCTGCAAGAGGAGCGGCCCGAGCTCTCGGAGAGCGAGCTGACCCGGCTTCTGGCCCGCATGTGGAATGACTTGTCGGAGAAGAAGAAGGTCAGCCTCCCTCGGCCCACAGGGGCTGCCAGGGCCGGGTCCCGGCTGCTCCTCCCCCAGGGGCTAGCTGCCACTTCCTCAGCCTTGGCCTATGTGAGCCACACGTCTGCCTGGGCTCAGATGCTGAGGCTGGGAGCTCCGCAAGCCGGAAGGCGGGAAGCTGTCAGCGGAGGGCCCGGGCTCCCCAGGGAGCAGAGCTGGTCGGCGTGCTGAGCCCCAGGCTGGAGACATCTGCACCAGCCCACGCCTCTGAGCCGCCCCGCCCTGGCCAAGGGGTTGGGGGGGCGGGGAGCCTTGCGGCACTGGACGGGGAGCGCGCGCCCTCTGGGGGCGGCCGGAAGCCTGACGCCCCTGCCATCCCTCCGCAGGCCAAGTACAAGGCCCGGGAGGCGGCGCTGAAGGCTCAGTCGGAGAGGAAGCCGGGCGGGGACCGTGAGGAACGGGGCAAGCTGCCGGAGTCACCCAAGAGAGCTGAGGAGATCTGGCAGCAGAGCGTCATCGGGGACTACCTGGCTCGCTTCAAGGTGGCAGGGAGCCTGAGAGGGGCTGTTCCACAGCCTGCCCGCGCAGGCCGCCTCCAGCCCCAGGTGACCCCTCCCATAGCTGACACCCCTGTTTGTCTCCAGAATGACCGGGTGAAGGCCTTGAAAGCCATGGAGATGACCTGGAACAACATGGAGAAGAAGGAGAAGCTGATGTGGATTAAGAAGGCAGCCGAAGACCAAAAGCGATATGAGGTGGGAAGAAGGGCTCTGCTCGGTGGGCTCGGTGGGGCTGGTGGGCCTGCTCGGCGGGCTCGGCGGGCTCTGCGGGCCTGCTCGGCGGGCTCGGCGGGCTCGGCGGGGCCGGGCCGCCTCCCTGCGCTTCAGGGGTCAGAGCACCCTTTCCTCGGTGGGTGGGCCGTGGAGCCAGGAGCCCCAGCCTTGGTTGTGTGACCCTGAGCAAATGTCCCACCTGCGTCCTCAGAACCGCAGTCACACGTCCGTAGGTGGGGGCGGTGGCACGCGTGGCGTGAGTGTAGTTGCAATAGCGCTTCGGAGCGGCGGCGCCTGACCCAGGTGTGAGCTCCCCGGCTCTGCCTCGGTTTCTAAGGCACTGAGGGCATGGGGCAGGAGGTAGAAGTACTTCCGGGTGGAGGAGTGGAGCGAGCGTGACCCTCCCGGGTGTCCCCGCAGAGAGAGCTGAGTGAGATGCGGGCGCCCCCCGCTGCTGCAAACTCGTCCAAGAAGATGAAGTTCCAAGGAGAACCGAAGAAGCCTCCCATGTGAGTCAGAGGGCCGGAACCCACCCGGGCCGTGGGGAGGGTCACGGCCGGAGGGTTGCTGGGTCGGCGTCTTAACCATCCCTGCGCCGCCCCACCTCGTAGGAACGGTTACCAGAAGTTCTCCCAGGAGCTGCTGTCCAATGGGGAGCTGAACCACCTGCCGCTGAAAGAGCGCATGGTGGAGATAGGCAGTCGCTGGCAGCGCATCTCCCAGAGCCAGAAGGAGCACTACAAAAAACTGGCGGAGGAACAGCAGAAGCAGTACAAAGTACACCTGGACCTCTGGGTCAAGGTGAGAGGGCTGGGGATCCTTGGAAGGAGGAGGCATCGTCTAGCTGGTCTGCATTCATGATTTCATTCAGCGTCCGAGCAGGCCTATAGGGTAATGATTGCTATCAAAGAAACCAAGGTTCAGAGAGATTAAGTAATCTACCTAAGGTCATGCGGCTAGTAAGTAGAATAATCCAGATCAGACTGCCTTTTCCTACCTCCAGCTGGGACGGGAGGTCTGGCCCTAAGCCTCTTGAGCTCCCCTTCTGCACCCCGGTTGAGCAGTCAGATCTGTACCGTGGGGAGAGTCACCTCTGTGTTCCCCAGCTATCCAGGCAGGTTAACCGGGGGCCCTGGGAGATAGCAGGGTGTAAGTGTCCAGAGATTTGGGGCACCCCAGACCCCTTCATTTGTGGCTCCAGGCTTGCGGGGTGGGAGTGTTGATAACCCAGCTGTGGTGATGGTTGTGGGGGCTTCTCTGAGCTGAGGAAGGACTAACTCTGGAGCCTCCACTTGGGTGGAACAACAGGAGGCACACGGAAACCAATAGTCCTAGGGCGGGGGTAGCCTAGAAAAGGGTTCAGGGCGTCTCCAGCAGTAGTATTGGAGCTGCGTTCTCAGATCCTGGGGGGGCCTGTCTGCAGAGACCCAAGGTGCGGGGAGAGCAGCAGGGCTAAGATGGGGTCGTGGTATGTAAGCCCGTGGCCCGCTGCCTGGCGCTCGGTCGGCTGCGGCTGGGGTGGCGTCGCAACGTTTACCTCCCCTTCTGTCTCCCGCAGAGTCTGTCTCCCCAGGACCGGGCAGCATATAAAGAGTACATCTCCAACGTGAGTCTGGGAGCAGGGCGGCGCCGGGGAAAGGGAGGGTCTGGGGAGGCGGGGGGGGGGGCCGATGTGTGGAACTCACGGCTGCTCCCTTCGTCTGTGTTCCCCTCCTCCTCCCCCCCCAGAAACGTAAGAGCATGACCAAGCTGCGAGGCCCAAACCCCAAGTCCAGCCGGACTGCCTTGCAGTCCAAGTCGGTGAGGAGCCCCTCCCACACGGGGTCGGGGTGGGGGCGTCCTCCGTGCGTGGGGGGGGGGCGGCCGAGACCACTGACGTTCCCCCGCCGCTCCCAGGAGTCTGAGGAGGAGGATGAGGAGGACGAGGAGGACGAGGACGAGGAGGACGAGGAGGAGGACGAGGAGAACGGGGACTCCTCTGAGGACGGCGGGGACTCCTCCGAGTCGAGCAGCGAGGACGAGAGTGAGGACGGAGATGAGGTCAGGTGGCGGGGCGGGGCGGGGGGAGGAGGCGGGGCGGGGGGAGGAGGCGGGGCGGGGGGAGGGGGCTTGCCCCAACGGCCACCGGGTGACCGCGTTCCTTGCCCCCCCAGAACGAGGAGGACGATGAGGACGAGGACGACGACGAGGAGGACGACGAGGACGAGGACAATGAGTCCGAGGGCAGCAGCTCCAGCTCCTCTTCCTCCGGGGACTCCTCGGACTCTGATTCCAACTGAGGCTCGGTCCCACCCAGGGCTCCCCTCCCCAGCTGACCACCTTTGTTTCTCCCCCATGTTCTGTCCCCTGCTCCCCCCCCCCCCCCACAGGAGCCCCCCCCTTTTTTTTTTTTTTTTTTTTTGTTTTTTTTTTTTTTTTTTTTAATCTGGCGGGGGAGGGGCTGGAGGAGCCCAGGCCAGGACTCTGCAGCCTCAGAGACACCAGCCCTGGGGGGCCCTCCAGGGAGCGCACCCATCAGACTGAGCCACCACTGGACCGGCCCGGCCCAGCCCTCTTCTGCACTTGCGGTTCCGTCATGGACAATGGACCTGGGAGTGGGGTGGGGGGGGGTGTCCCAGAGAGTTCGGTGAGGCCCTCCGCGCCTGCCGCCCGACCCACGGGAGGGTGGAAGCTTGGGGAAGAGCCCTCCCTTCCCAGAGGGGCTTGCCGACTGGACCCCTACATTGGAACTGGAGGCAGGGAACGTGGAGGGGAGGAGGGCAGGAGCCTCAGAGAAAAACGGGCGTTGCCCCGTAGCCCTCTCCCCTGCCCTCTGCAGGAAGGAGCTGCCTGGACCCACTCACGGGGGGAGGGGGCAGAAGTGTTTTTTATATATGTGTATATATTTTTTTTTTTAAGCTCTGAGCTGTCAACGAGACGTTTCCTACCGATCTCGGCTGCCGTCTCTGTTGTCATTTCTGGGAGAGGGAGGGTTTAGGGGGTAGGTTTGGAACTTTTTTAAAATGGTCTCGATGCGAATGGAAAAGTGTGCGCGTGTGTGTCGCCTGTACATAGCGTGGATGCACCTGTGGATGTGTGCATAGGCGTGCGTGTGTGTGTGTGTGCGTGCGCGCGTGTGTGTAAGAGAAGGGGGAGCCCACCTCAGTCTGTGAATCTGGTGAATGGGTTGGTGAGGGCCAGGGAGACGTTAATCCTGGTGGGAACAGGCTGGGGCAGCCCCTTTCTCCACATTCTCTGCTTTGCCTAATCTCTGATTCAGTGGGGGGGGGGGGGGGTTGCTGATTCAGTTGGGGGGGGTGGTACTGAAACCACTCTAATGCTTCCTGTAGCTGCTTCCCTCGGCCAGGGCCACGCGACTCTGAGCCCGCTGGTCTCCAGCAGGGCATTGGGAGGGGGCCAGACTGGGTGAACCTAAGAGCCTTTTATTTAGTGGGAAAGGCCTTCCCAGTTCACCTGAGAGGTTGCCCGGCCACCTTAGGCTCAGAAACTGGGCTTCAAGAAATATATTGGAAGCTCTTAACATACACCCCCTCCCGCCTTTCCCTATATCCTCCAGAACCCCCCACCCCCATTCCCTTTGATTTCTCAGGTCTGCTCCCTTCCCCACCCCTCCAAACCCCCAGCTGGGGAAGGGGTCTGCAAAGGCTGCTTTTGCAGCTGTCCCTCTAACCCTTCCTGGCCATCTCAAGATTTCTGGTACCCTAATTCCTTGGACCCTTAATAAGCCAAGCCACCTTATCTCTGTGGATTGAAATTTTTACTTTTTGATTAAAGTTTGGCGCTTTTTGTTCCCCCTTACAATCATGTCAATGATCCATTTAGTTGGGGCTTTGTGCTTTTCCACCTTCCTCCTCTGAATGAAAGCCAAGGGGTGGAGGAAGAGTGGGAATCCACCCAGGGAGTGGGGTGGGAAAGGTGGGTCCCACTCCCAAAGGAAAGCAGACAGTCTGCTTTGCCTTGGACGTGGTGCTGGGGGTGGGGGAATTAGGGGAGGATACTCCCCACTCCCACTCCCCTTCCTTTGTCCTGACCCTGATATAGGGGTTCATAGGTTCTATTTTTTCCCAAGAGCCCCTGCAAAGAACCCCATTTTCCTGTTTGAATGCCCCTGTGCTGTTGTGTTTTAGTGGAATGTGTTTTCATTTAAAAACAACTTTGAATGGGGCACTTCTTTTTTTCCCCGTTTTAAAAATCGGAAATTCTTACAGTACAAACAGGGCTGTGGGGATGGGGGTGTTGGTGCTGTAAGAGGTCACTCTGAGTGCATTTTGGCACTGGGATGGGATGGTCGGAGTGGGAGGACCCCCCCCCACTCTCTCCCCCTTTTTTCTAATATTTAAGGAGTGTTTTTGTAGGTTTCAACAACAACCACAACTTGAATTTGTATCATGGGAGGTGGGAGGGAGTGTCGTAGAGGTGTCTGCCTAAGCTTAAGGCCAACTGTAGAAGTTTTGTTTTCCCTCTTTTTGTACAATAAAGTGAAAAACAAAGGTTTGACTTGCTGTCTGCTCACTGGAATCAATGAAGGGCGGGGTGCAGGGGGGATGCACCAAGTTCAGTGGGGAAAGACTCTCGAAGCCAGCTTGTTTGCCCCTTCTCTCTAGAACCATCTTTCTCTTCCTAAAGATTCCATAGGCAGCCTACCTTCACATTGTTCTGTGCTATTATTGCACTTCCATTTCAGTTTGTTCACCTTGGGTTGTCAGACCACTAAAGACAGAAATTTGGGGAACAGATTATTTTCTCCCAGAGTGCACTGCCTTGGGAAATTGGGGGCAATGAACTATTAGGGTCAGGGGTTCACCCTGGTCATGTAAGGACTTATCATTGGGAGTTGGGGTGACCCTCCCATCTTGAGCCTTCGGCCTCACCCAGGGTTAGAGATGACTTTCCTAACTCCACCCAGGGCTCTTATGGGAAGTGGGCTGGGCCAAGATGACTCGCCCTCTGAGGTTAAGGAAGATAGATAGCCTTCCCTGCACAGGCCTTGGCCAGGTTCCTGGAACCACCAAGGGCTGGAGACCTAGTCCCCATCCAGGAGCTCTCCCTTGGCCCCACACCCTGGTGTTCTTGGCCAAATTGCTGGAAAGCTCACTGCCCTTCATGGTCTCCCATTTCCTCACCTCCCACTCACCACTCTCCTGGGGTGACTCTAAATTCACCAGCATGTTCATCATTCCATCCAGTGGGCACTTGTCCGTCTCTTGACTTCTTGGTCTATTCTGCTAGCATTGGGCTCTTCATTCTATCCTAGGTGTTCATGTCACCTTATGAACCTCCAATTATCACCCATGGGTAACTAATCCAAAAGGTGGTATCTACAGAGTCCGCTCTTCCAAACTGCAAACCTGCGTAGATTTCTGTGTATCCTCTGGGATATGCTGCAGGCACCTCATCCCTCAAGGCCCAAAATGATCACCAACCTCTGGTTATTCAAACTAGAAACTAGGGTATCAGCCTTGACTTCTCTCTCCCTCTTCAAACCTCCATATGTATTTGCCCACCTAGACCTGTCCATTCCACTTCCTGTATCTCTCCCAAATCTGTGCACCCTTCCCCATTGCTGTCATCCCCATCCTGTTCAAGGCCACCATCATTGCTCAACTTTCGCAGACTTCCTAAAACTGGTCTTCCTGCTTACACTCTTGCCCCCTACAGTCCATTCTGCACACAGCAACCAAAGTTATTTTTGTCGTAAAAAGAAATCTGGGGGCATCCCACTGGCTCAGTTCGAAGAGTGTGCGACTCTGGATCTCTGGGTCATGAGTTTGAGCCCCACATTGGGTGTAGAGCTTACTTAAATGAATAAAAAATTTTAAAGAAATAAAATGAAAAATCTGAGGGGCGCCTGGGTGGCTCAGTCGTTAAGCGTCTGCCTTTGACTCAGGTCATGATCCTGGGGTCTTGGGATCGAGCCCCGCAACGGGCTCCCTGCTCGGCGGGAAGCCTGCTTCTCTCTCTCCCGCTCCCCCTGCTTGTGTTCCCTCTCTCGCTGTGTCTCTCTGTGTCAAATAAATAAATAAAAATCTTAAGAAAAAAAAAAAAGAAATCTGGTTACTTCTGTACTAACAACTTACATGACTCCACAAGGCCTGGCCCCTGCTTCCCATCTCCCACCTTCTCTCACCCTGCTCTTCCTAATCACTCACAACGATCCAGCCAAGTGATCTCTTTTGTTCTTCAAACATGCCTACCACAGGGCCTTTGTACTTTCTGCCCCAAATGCTAATCTCTCAATTCTACACACAGCTGGTTTTCTCATCCTGCAGGCTTCAGCTCAAATGTCACCTCATAGACAGGCCTTCCCTAACAATGCTTTCTAGTGAGGCCTCCTCCTACATCTTTGTTTCTATATTTGTTTACCTGTTTATTGGCTATCTCCCCAAGTAGAAGACACCTTATCTGCTTGTCTACTACAGTAACCCCAGCACCTAAAATTGCCTGGTATACATTTGACACTCAAAGAAACATTTGTTGAATGAGTGACTAAGTACGGCTGACAAGGTCCTGGGGGATCCATTGCCCCTGCTGGCCTCTGTACCAACTCAGCTCTACCAGCCATCCATGTCTCAAAACATACCACACTCTCTTCCAGGGCCACATTCTGCCTATACACATCACCATTCCCTCTGCCTCGAATGTTCCTCTTCACCTCACTGTCTAGTTAATTCAGGGCTCCCCTTAAAAGATCACTTCTTCCGGGTGGGGGGGATCTTCTCTGACCCCTTGACAAAAAAATCATGCCACTTGTTTCTTCAGCAGCCCGGATGCCTTCACACTCAGTCTTGTTTCATCCACTACCAGGCTTTGCTGGGGTGTAAATTCCACTAGGACAAAGTCTGTGTGTCTCTCTGGCTCGCTGCTTACACCCCGGGGCCTCGCCCAGAGCCCAGACCAGCGCAGTCCTTAGTGTTTATTGACTGATGCTAACTGTGGAGACCGAGCACATTCCCAAAGAGGTCACCACCACTGAGCAGCCCAGGCCAAGGGCCGGATGAATAGAAATGATCCACTTGTAAAGGAGTTTGGTGTGAGGATGGCCACGGGTGGGAAAGTGAGGAAGGATTTAGGTAAACAGAGAGGAGACAGGAAGGCTTCCTGGGCATGTGTAAATTCCTCAGGGCAGATATACTGGGCTTATTTAGAGACTGAGAAACAGATCAGCATCGTCGGAGTTGAGAGTTCCTGATTCGCATTTTGGAGGTTCCTGAAGGCCTGGCCTCACTTCAGTGATCTTCAGAGGGCCTCCACCAGCTGGTCTCACAGTACCTACAACACACACCAAACCGAACGTGTCCTCCTTACATCCTCATATCTCCTCCTCAGAGTTCCCCATCTTGGTTAAAGGTGTTTTCAGGGCTGTCTTT